AGGGCTGTATCACTGTACTGTGTGCAGGACTGTATCACTGTACTGTGTGCCTTGACTGTATCACTGTACTGTGTGCAGGACTGTATCACTGTACTTTGTGTAGGGCTGTATCACTTTACTGTGTGCAGGACTGGATCACTGTACTGTGTGTAGGAGTGTGTGAGTAGGACTATATAACTGTACTGTGTGTAGGACTGTATCACACTGTACTGTGAGTAGGATTATATACTGAAGAAGGCTCCACAGCCGAAACGTTGTGTTTTCTTTCTTCTTTTTTTCAGCATGGAATAAATCTATTACTTGTTCCTTTGCAGCCTACGCATGCTGACGCAGCTACCCACCTGAACTTATATAACTATACTGTACTGTGTGCAGGACTGTATCACTGTGTGAGTGGGACTGTATCACTGTACTGTACTGTGTATAGGACTGTACCATTGTACTATATTGTGAGTGGGACTGTATAACTATACCCACTATGCCTTCCTCTAAATCTTTCTCTAGATCTCTTCGTCGTTCCTTCTCTTCCTCCCTGGGCTACCTGCTCCCTCTCTCACTAAACCAGCTTTCTGCCTCTTCACAGCGATCTGTTCCAAGATCCAAGACCAGGCTTTCTAACCACCTTCTATTCCTTTACAGATGTCGTCGTTATAATATCATTCCTAAAGGATTTCGCCTGAAATTTAACACTTTTTCTTTGGACTTGTGTAATACTCGGAGACTTCTATAACAGTGTTAGCGGAAACTAATGCTTTCTACCATCCTCTCCTTCAGACAACAGATGACCCTTCCTGGCAACAACATCAAGGAAGCCAAGGCATTCTTACGGCTCACAGCTGCATAGCATCTTCCCTTCATAACAAACCTCATCAGATCCCTCAACTCCCAACTCCACCAGTTCCTCACTTCAGAGAAGGGTAAAAAACTCAATCACACTCAATCCTCTTTTCACCACCTCAGCCAATCCTAACCTTGTGGTTCCTATACCCTCTGACCTCTCTCTTTCACAGGATGAGCGATCTCTTCTCAGCAGAGCCCTGTTATGTTCCAGACCCAAGAAGCTGGACATCCCGCAAACCCAAGTCGACCTCAACCGTTTTCACCGCAGGATTCGGCTCAAAGCTCATTTTGCTGACAACGCCTCCTCACCTCACTGATGCCATTAACAATATAAATCCTAAACGGAGCTCTTGGACTCCCCCTTCCGGCCGGTTTCCACCAGTTGATTACTTTATTAACCAATGCAACAATCAAGTTCCCAAGACCCTTTCCAAACCCAGGAAACGCAGGTCTAACCTCACCCAAGGAGAAACTCAGGCACTCCAATCTCTCCGCACCAGGGATGAGATGGTCATCAAACCAGCAGACAAAGGAGGAGCTGTTGTGGTGTGGCAAAAAGACTTGTACATTAAGGAAGCCTCCAGACAATTATCCGATACTTCTGCCTACCGTCCTCTCCAACAGGACCCTACCACTGACTACCAGAAGGAAGTGGTATCCACTGTCGCTCTTCTTTTCAGCAACCAGGTGCTGCCCCAGGAAGCGAACCGTCTCATCGTCGAACATTCCCAAGTATTCCAATTCTATCTCCTTCCCAAAATCTAAAAACCCGACACCCCTGGACACCCCATTGTCTCAGCGTGCAATTGTCCGACCACACTCAGCTCTGCTTTCCGGGACAGCCTTATGAGACCTCTGGTTGAAATGCTTCCCTCATATATCAGGGATACGAACCATGCCCTCCAACTTTTCAATGATTTCCAATTTCAGGGTCCAGAATGCTACATTTTTCCCATGGATATCACGTCTCTCTCCACCATCATTCCCCACAACGACGGTCTTACAGCCCTCAAGCACAAGCTAGACAAACACACAGTGCTTGACCCTCCCACCCACACTCTAGTGCGTCTTGCGGAATTGGTTCTCACACTCAATGCCTTCTCATTTTATAACCTTTTTTTATCAGCAGGTTAGTGGAGTTGCCATGGGCACCAGGATGGGACCCAGCAATGCCAATATTTTTGTCGGCTGGGTAGAAGAACGCTTCCTCACTTCCTACACTGGCTTCGTCCCTGACCTCTACAAGTGATACATCGATGACTGCGTCGGTGCTGCTATCTGCTCTAATGACCAGCTAGAGCACTTCCTGCATCAATTCACCAACTCTCACCCTTCCCTCAGATATACAGTTAACATATTTTCCACCACTCTTCAGTTTCTAGACATAAATGTATCTGTCCACGTCTCTCAACCTCGGTCTATTACAAACCCACAGATTCACACAGCTATCTTCTGTGCAGCTCTTTTCACCCCACTCACACCAAAAACACACCAGACCCTTTCTCACAGTTCCTCAGGCTACATCGACTCCGCAGTGACGACATGGGTTTCCAGAACCAAGCACTCAAAATGTCTCTTTTTTCATCAACAGAGGATACCCCACCCATGTTATTGACAGGGCTCTCACCCGGGCCAAAAACAGCCCTCGGATCATCAACTCGATCAGGAACTCCCCGTCTCACAACCCCATTCCTTTGGTGCTTCCCTACCACACACTTCCTACCCCCAGAACCATTATTAACAACTTCTCCACTTTACAGGGCGATCCCTCCATCGGTACCCCTAACCGCCCAATCATCTGACAAACCAATCTACGTAAACGACTTGTTTACAGCTCCCGTTCGCACTCGGCAATCCCCACCAGGCACCTTCCCCTGCAACAGAGCTTGCTGCATCACCTGCAAATACATATCTAACAACACGCTCATTCAGGGCCCCTCAGGTCACTTCCAGATCACCCAGACGACATCCTGTACCTCCAGCAACCTCATTTACTGTATCTCCTGCAGAAAATGCCCAGCTATCTACGATGGGGAAACCGGAAGGAGACTAGGAGACCGCTTCAGAGAACATGTTAGGGCTGTGAAGATTTAAGATTTCTCAAAGCCCATAGTTTCTCAATGCACCTCAGACGGCCATGATCGCACCGATCTCTCTGTCCCTGTTGTCAAAGGAGGGTTTCTCAACTCCCACAGCAGAAAAACTACAGAAACGAAACTCTGAATCTAGGTTCACACCTTCCCCCTTCTCTCAACGACAGACTTATTTTTGTGTAATCTTTTCTATCCTCATGCTGGTTCTGACTTCACACCTTTCTTCACCCCTCTCCACTTTGCACTTCCTGAGCGGCCTCTCTGCCTCTCTGCCCTTCCTGCCTCCTCCTCTCTCTCAGCTTTTGTTCTTCAGTGCTATTTAATCTTTGCTGTCAGCCCTGTCTTTCTCATACCTGAAGAAGGCTTCACAGCCGAAACGTTTTGTGTCTTCTCTTTTCAGCATTGAATGTACTGTGTGCAGGATTGGATCACTGTACACTATTGTACTGTGTAGAACTGATTCACTGTACTATACTGTGAGTAGGACTGTATCACTGTGCTGTACTATACTGTACTGTGTGCAGGACTATACCACACTGTATTGTACTGTGTGTAGGACTGTATCGCACTGTATTGTACTGTGTGCAAGACTGTACCACACTGGACTGTACTATACTATGAGTAGGACAGTATCACACTGTACTACACTGTGTGTAGGCTGTATCACTGTACTGTACTATGTGCAGGACTTCATCACTGTACTGTACTGTGTGTAGGACCGTACCACACTGCACTGTGTGTGGCACACTGTGTTGCACAAAACATTTTGGATGCCTGCTCTTTCCTTGAAATAGACTGACCAGGTGAATCCAGCTGAAAGCAATGGTCCCCAAATTGATTTCAGATGTTAATTCCGCTTCAATCAGTGTAGATGAAGGGGGGAGACATGTCAAATAAAGATTTTTAAGGTTTGAAATAACTGAGACATGGATTGTGTATGTGAGGGAGAAAGATTCCCCAAGAAAAAAGATTTAAGTGCCTTTGAACAGGGTGTGATAGTAGGTGTCATGTCAGGCACGCTGGTTTGAGTCCAGAACTGCAATGATTCACTTTTTTTTCGAGCTCAAGTGTCCCGTGTGTATCTGGAATGGTCCACCACCCAAACGACATCCAGCCAACGGCAGGCCAGGGGTCAAAAACAGCTCATTGATGAAAGAGGTGAAAGGAGGCCGACACAAACTGTGCAGATCAACAGACAGTCCAGTACAACACTGGTGCCGAAAGACCCATAAAAGACCGTACAACTCATTGCACCTTGACACCAACGGTATAGCAGCCAGTGACAATGATCCCGGGTCCTGCTGTTTCAGGCTGATGGGAAGACAAGAGAAAACTACAGGAGTCCGTGGATCCATCATGCTGTGTGCCAACATTGCAGGCTGGTGGTGGTGTGATGCTGGGGGGAGTGTTTTCATGGCACACTGGGACATTGGGCTCCTTGATAAAAGTGGAGCAATGTTTAAATCCCACAGGATATCTGAACATCGCTGCCGATCAGATGCATTCCTTCATGGCAGCTGTGTATCCATCTGCGAATGGGATTTTTCAGCAGGATAATGCCCTGTGCCACAAGGCTAAGATTGTTCAGGAACGTCTCCACGAGCCTGGCAATGAATTCAGCTTAATGCTGCTGCCTGCCCAGTCTCCAGATCTCAATCCAGTAGAGCAGCTGAGGGATGAGATGGAACGAGCTATCCGGAGTAGAGATCCACTACCAGCCAAGTCAACACATCTGTGGGCAGCGCTGGAGTCAGCACGGGGCAGCATCTCTGTGGGACCCTTCAGACACCTTATCGAGTCTGCGCCCTGACGAACTGAGACTGTTCTGAGGGCAAAGGGGGTGCAACGCAATATTAGGAAGGCATCCCTAATGTTATATATTGTGCTGCACTGTGGAGATGCATGCCGTAGTATACTTTGTGTAAGATGTGGTAGTGTACTGTGCATAGGACTGTATCACTGTCTTGTACTGTGTGTAGGGAGCTATATGCTGTACTACACTATGTGTAGGTGTGGTATATTGTTCTGAACTCTGCAGTCTATGCTGTCCTTTGCTCTAGCTTCCTTCAGCTCGGCGTCAGTGTGAACTAGTCATTGTCTCGTAAAAACTGTCTTTGATCTGTGTATTTTCAGAGCCGCTCGTGACCTGATGAGATTCACCCAGGCAGGAAAGAGCGTCTCTGTTCACCAGAGCCCAGCGCTGCAGTCGGCTCACAATGGGCAATTAAGTGAAACACGAAGCTGCAGAACCGTCAGGAGCTCTGCTAGCAGCTCCTTCGCACGTCTGGGAGATCGTCTTCACAGGGCCGGGTAATTAGAGATAATTAACGCCTTTCTGGCACCAGGGCGACTGGAGGGAGCTGATAATTGAAAAAGAATTCAGGGATTAAAAAAAGAGCTGAATGCAAACTGCTCTGCATGCAAAACCTAAAGAAGAAAGGCATGACAAATAAAACCGGAAAAAAAATCCCCCCCCCCACCTCTCCATTCTTCCAAAGGGCTGTCATTCGTCTCGAACCCAGGATCGCTCTCTGCACGGTGCGTCCTGGTCGCTGCGCTGGTTCTGACCCCTTGCCCACAGGGTCACGAGGAGATTGGATGAGGGTATTTTGGGGTTGCCGATACAGAAACTCTGTGTAAGTGACTTCTTTACACAAAGGGTGGCAGGGGTCTGCAACAGGTTCCCAGCCAAGTAGGTGAAGCCGACACCCTGGCTTCTTTCAAGCAGGAGATGAGGTCCCCGGATCAATTAGCAGAAGCCTAATGAGCTGGGTGGGCCGAATGGCCACCTGCAGGCGGTCACTGTTCTGAAACACTGCAGCAGCCTACTACAGGCCCCCCCAGCGGCCCCAGCGTGAAGGGTACTGGCGCTGCTGGGAGCTTCACCCCAGTTTTCCAGGCCTACAGCGCACATCCCCCAGCTCGTGAAAGACTGGCATCGGGGGAAGAGGGCAAGCGCCCCACATAAAAGCACAATTCGGGACTGAACTCCTCTCGGGGCTTAGTCTGGCCTCCCCGCCGGTCCCCATCAACTCCACCGGTGAAGCTGCTTCTCTCCCTCATCCGCTGCGGCTCGGCTGAGGTGGGATCCGCACAATGGAGGGAGGGAACGGGCCCCCTCTGTGTGAGACGCTTTTAGATGAACGGTGTTGAGGCAGCTCAGCGGCTCTCGCCCTCCCTCTAGTGGCGCTGCAGCGGTATTTCATGTCATCTCACTCTCTTTTCTACAGGGGCAGCTGATCCCTCAGCCCAGTGCTGCTCAAAACCCGGCGAGTTATGCACCGGCCCGGGTGACCCACGCTGTCCGGCTCTTGCAGGGCCAGTAGGTCGGCCACAGGCCCGGAACAGAGACCCGAGAGTCTCGGCAGAAACCGGAGATCAAAGAAACGACACAGCAGGTATAGGAACAAATTTTATTCCAATTTAAAACAGATAATTTTTTTTTGTAATTATTCTTTTCTTTTTTAGGAGAAGGCTATGAAAACCATTTTCATGTATTTTAATGAGGTTCAGGCAACAGTGGTTGAAATGAAACAAATACAAAAAATTATATATGGCTAAAAATACTGTTAATCAATAACCGTTCAGACCCCTGCAAGGCCTCAGTGCTGCCCTCCTCTGCCCAGACAACACGTGGTATTTAAATGACAACGTTTACAAACAGCAGTTTCTTTACTCTTAAATACAGAATAAACTTGTCCTTTTCTCTTGAGTTGCTAGTCGTTAATGTAGTGTTTCTTGTGTTAAAAACTGGGCTGTAGAAATACACAGGCCACCTAATGATTTTCACAACCTTGGCACTTGAGAAGGTCAGGCGCTACTGAGCACAGGGATTGGCACATTGATATTGTACATCATTTACATTCGGTATACTTACAAAACAAACCAAAATAGGAAAATAAGCAAATTAAAAAAAAATACATGACTTGAATTTTATACATCACTACACAATGTTTAATCATCCTGCTTTATCAAAAACAATGAAGAGAGAACAATCTGTTATATGAAATGGTTCTAAATACAATAGTGTTCAGGTCGTGTCTCAGCATTTATAAAACCTTGAATTTCTCGAAGTTCCACCTCTCTTGTACTGATGACAAGCGAAGCTCCACACCTCGGTTATTGAAGTACCTGCAAGCATGGTCGATTACAGGAGCTGACTACAGCACAGAGGCGGGCAGTCAGGCCTGGACTGTCACGCTGGAGTGGACAGCGGTGTGAGTGTGTAGTGTTTGGGGTGGGCAGAACACATCCGGGGGTCTCCCCTGGCTCATACACCTGCACAACAAATACTGCTTACAGATCTGTAATGTAAAGTAGAAGCTTTCATGTTGTGCAAACTACATACTTGCTGTCAACTTTCTGTACCACTTAAATCAAAATACTGTGAATTGTAATAATGAGGATTTTGTGTGTTGGCACTATTTCAATGATAAAACAAACAAATTAACAGGTGTAACACCCGATTACAGATAGAGCCTCTCCTCTCGTTTACTCAGAGTTGTGGGTTATTCTAGGGCCAGTGTCTCTGTCCAAAGGATACACCATCCATGCCTCAGCCTGCTGCCCTGCCCCGCGCTGCCCTGCGGGCCCTGTCTGCTGCCCTGCCCTGTGGGCCCCGCTATCTGCCCTGCCCTGCCCTGTGGGCCCTGTCTGCTGCCCTGCCCTGCCCTGTGGGCCCCGCCATCTGCCCTGCCCTGCCCTGTGGGCCCTGCCAGCTGCCCTGCATTGTATTATGAGCCCTTCTTTCAGAAGGCCTTGATACTGATTGGGGAAAAACTTAAAATGTACTTATGGACAGCACCATGTGCTACCTCCGAGTGTGGTTGGGAGAGTAGTAAAAATTTCATTTACATAACCTCCTTTATCCATTTAGTTTTCAGGTGTTTAAGAGAAGAGTGCATTTAATCGAGCCAATACCACACCCCTGTCACTGCTGAGGTTTCTAATGGGTCCTCAAAGAGCAACAGACTTGGGACAGCAGTGCAGCATCTGGGAGAGGGTGGACAGGTGCAGCTCTGCCGAACAGCCTGAAGAGGGAGTGTTGACGGTGTGCCAGAACACCACCCGGTTTATAACAGGACCCTACTTACTGTACTAAACCACACTACGAACAGGAAACGAGGCTCAGGTGTGGGCAAGGAAAGAATACATTTCACCATTCAGAACTGTGGTCATCTGCCAATTTGCCAAGGACTTTAGACAAGTGCAGTGGAGAAGAAAATGAGCCGAAATGACACGTGTCGCACAACCTGGCGTGTTTGGTCTGTGCTTGAGGCCCCTTCCGAGGTAAAATACCCTTTCACACGACGCGGCGGGCAGCAGGGGCTCCACGCTGACACTCTCGCCCAATGGCGCGGGCGTAGCTTCGCTCGGGCCTGTTCAGCGGCTGTGTTTCGCAGGAGACTGCTGCTGCAGCCTGGGAGGCCGCCAGTAGCCAGGAGACGCTGCTGCAGGCTCGGAGGGATGTCAGGACGGCGCTGGGCTCCCGGACTGCTGTGGGGGGCCAGGAGCCCCCCCTCCACCCTGCTCTCCCCCCAGAGGCCTTGACCGAATTCTCCGCTCGGCTGGTTTGGCGTTTGTTAGCCCTTGTAACGAAGACGAACGAAAACCAGCGCAGACGTGGGAGGGGAACAAAAACAGCGTCGCCAAGCGCGAGCCGGCAGACCTCCCCGCCCGCCGCCGCTGGTGTCCCGGCTCTTTTGTTTTGGGGCACCCTGCTCTCGCACTGAAGCGCAGCTTCTAAAACCGATTCTCCACAGGGCGGGGAGCAGTGGAGGCCCGGCGGGCACCTGGAGACAGAAACCCCTGGAAAGCTGGAGGGGGCGGGAAAGAGCAGGTCCCCTGGCTGGGAACCGAGATCGCCCCCACCGCCCCCCAGTCTCACTGGGGAGAGAAGCCAGGCTTCGTTTCACATCAAATCATCAACAACGACACCTAAAAGTCTGGTCCATAAATTAGATAAATAAAACTATTTACTTTCTCTTAAAATCACCATTAGTTGTCTGACACCATGCTGACAGAACAGCTGGAGAAGCACGAGGAGAACAAACCGGTCCCGGCGCTCACCGGACAGCAGCCCTTTGCCAAAATTACAAACCCGGCGGAGCGTCTCGGAATGAACGCCATCAACATCCTCTCGGCCCGCCTCCGCTCCCTCCCCTTGCGCTACCGTAATCCGCAAACGGTAAGTACAGCAAAATCAAATCGTATTTAAACCGCAATCATTTCTGAACGGGATCACAGCGGTGACACGATGGGGAATGGAGGAGGAAAGGGAGGAATGGAAACCGCGGGCGGCGGGAGGAACCGAGAGAGAGACCGGCGCGGGACGCGGTGGAGGATCCGGGCGTCCGGCGCCGCTCTGGACAGAAACGCGGCCAGTTTGGAAAACGCCGCGGCGAGCGAGGTGGCGCGGGGTGTGCCCGGATTGGGCACAAGGGGGCACCCTCCCCCCAACGAGACCCAGAACGATTCGCCGGTTTTCACGAAAGAACAGAAAAAAAATAAAAATCAGGTCCTCTCCTCCCTCTGTGTGTGTTTTCCTGTTATTTTTTATTTAATCATTTCTTTCATAGTACTAATAGTTGTAGTAGCAATAGTAATAATTATTAAAAATGTTTAAAATATTCTCAGCAATATATATATAGAGATCTGATTGATTCGCCCTGTCTCCCAGCTCTGTGTGTGTTTAGTGTTGCTCTCTCTGCTGACCCTGCTCCTCTGGGGGCGGCTGTGGGGCGAGAGTGTGTGTGTGCGCGTGTGTGTGTGCGTGGGTGTGCGCGCGCGCGCGAGGCGCCGGCTCACACCAGGTTGTACTCCTTCAGGTTGAGCTGCAGGATGGTGTCCTTCACGGCGGCGAAGACGAAGCGGATGTTCTCTGTGTCGGTGGCGCAGGTGAAGTGAGAGTAGATGATCTTGTCGCTGTCCGGGTTCAGGTCCACGAACATCTTGAGGATGAACTCGCGCGCGGCCTGGGCGTCCCGCTGTGGGCCTGCGGGCACAGAGTGAGCGCGGGCGCCGTTAGGTTCGGGCAAGACCAGAACCACCATCCCCAGAACACTGCGAGTCCGGCACAGGACACCAGCCCGGACTCTCCCCGCCCCAGCAGTGTCCCAGTCAGCCACTAGGTGGCACCAGACACCCAGAAACAAACCCAGTGGCCGATCACCTCTGTAACAGATCGCCAAGGAATCCACCCCACGCCCAGCACACAGACAAGTAATTCAATCCAGGCAGAAAACAGTCGGCCTGTCAGCGCTCCTGGGGAGCAAAAACATAACTGAAATCCAAGGTTTGCTCAATGAAAATTTAGAGAACATCTGGGAAAATCCAGATGCCAGCACAGCCTGTGAGCGGTGGGGGCTGTAAGATGTGCATAGTACAGGTGAGCCATCGTCCCTTTCTCCCTCTCTCGTCTGCCTGTGTCCTGATCCACCTGCAGGACAGCGGTTGGACACGCCTGCTGGATTGAACACACCTGCAGGAACAGACACGCCTATCGGAAACACACTCCGCACAGCCGGCTCACCATCGAACTCCGGGAAGTAGTCCACCAGGTGGGAGTACATGATCTTCTCCTCCAGCAGGTCCTTCTTGTTGAGGAAGAGGATGACGGAGGAGTTCTGGAACCAGGGGTAGGTGATGATGGTTCGGAACAGGGCCTTGCTCTCCTCCATCCGGTTCTGCAGGAGAGGAGGGGAAGGGTTTGCATGTGAACGACTTACTTCTGACATCGCGGGACAGACAGACGTACCGGTCCGAGAGCACGCACAGACAGCCGGACCGGTCCGAGAGCACGCACGCACAGACAGCCGGACCGGTCCGAGAGCACGCACGCACAGACAGACGTACCCGACTGGTCCGACAGCGCAATACAGAGAGCCGTACCAGACCGGCTCAACAGCACAGACAGACAGCTGTACCAGACCAACAGCACAGACAGACGTACCTGACTGCTCCTACAGCGCAATACAGACAGACAGCTGTACCAGACCGGTCCAACAGCACAGAGAGCCATACCAGACCAGTCCGACAGCACGGGACAGAAAATGAGCCGTACCGGGCCGCACGGTTGAAACCTGTTGTGAGGAGTGGCAGTATCTGCACTAAGGAAGTGCAAAGACACTTGTCAGGTTTTAAGAACTATCTGTGGGGATGATCCATCCTGGTGTCTCAACCCTGTGTGAATAATTCAGTTTTCTATAAGAAGCTGCAGAAAGGGCGAGAGTTTGTGCTGGAAAGGTTTCTCAAGTTTGACAATATGTAATAAATTAAGTAATGTAATAAAGCTGCTGGCAAATGAGCTGCCTAAAACTTCCAATTTGTAAAACTTTGCAGCAAACATTTATAAAGGTAATGTTGGAAAAGCACCACTCTCTACAGCAAGGAAACATGACAGTCGCAAGATGAGGAAAGAAACTATGTCGTATTCTCACGCCTATCTTCCAGTTAAGCGAAGGCTGAATAAGGAAAAGGTACTGGCTGGAGCCTCTCAGCTGGAGAACCACCCTGCAGTCACAGCTGCTGCTGTCTCCCAGTCTAGGTGCGGACCTGTATTGGTAGCCCGGGGCGGAGCGGTAGCACTGTGGCTCAGGATCTGCGCCTGTGGCTGGAAGGTTGCTGGTTCAAATCCAGTGGCCGGCAGAGGGGCCCCTGAGGAAGGACCTTAACCTTAACCAGCAGCTGGGTCAGAGCGCAGGGTCAGCCATTGTACAGCGCCCCTGGAGCAGCTGGGGTTAAGGGCCTTCCTTAGGGGCCCTGTACAATGGCTGACCCTGCGCTCTGACCCCAAGCTTCTCTCCCTGTCTGTGTGTCTCATGGAGAGCAAGCTGGGGTCTGAGAAAAGACAAATTCCTAATCCAAGAAATTGTATATGGCCAATAAAGTGATCTTATCTATATCTCACTTAGACAGACAAGTTCAGACAGGTTCTCCAGAGCAGGAGGGCTCTCCCACACTGCTGGAGCAGACCTGGGACACTCTTTAATTCTTAAAGAATGAACGAGGGGCGTCCAGCTGTCCTCTTCTCGAACTGCCCGAGTACTGCTCTGCGTCTGAGCTGCGACTGGCTCGGATTGTTCGGCCCCTCTTGGAGCAGGACTGTGTAATTCAGAAACCCCACAGGACCTGGTGAATCCCAGTTAACACGCTACATCTTCACTACGGCCTCCTGGTACCACCGGAGCTGGCTGCAGTGGAAGGAGATGGCTTTGGAATACCTAGACCCTGCTCCCCCCTGAGCCAGCTGTGACTGGAGGTCTAGACCCCCCCGCTGTGCCACAGCTGGACCAGGAATGGGCTCCGGAGCCACAGGAGCAACGCACCTCGTTGTCGGACTCCACCAGGACCTGGTCGTACTCGCTCAGCGCCACCAGGAACATGATGGACGTCACGTTCTCGAAGCAGTGGATCCACTTCCTGCGCTCTGACCGCTGGCCGCCCACGTCCACCATCCTGCTCGCCAGAGATGGACAGCAGAGGAGACGGAGGAGTCCAGGGAGGGAGAGAGAGAGAGAAGGTGAGGAAAAGGCAGGGAGGGAGAAAAGGAGAAGACGACAGGAGATCATCCACAAGCCTCCTGACCATGTTAACACCCACAACACCCCCACAGCCCAAACCACACCTGGGCGGGGCCTGTAGCTGGAACGTTTCCGTTTTTGTTTCTCGCAGCCGGCAGAGGAATCCTACTCTGTTGGGCCCCTGAGCAAGGCCCTTCACCCCAACTGCTCCAGGGGCGCTGTATAAATGTCTGACCCTGCGCTCTAACCCCCAGCTTCTCTCCCTGTCTGTGTCTCATGGAGAGCAAGCTGGGGTCTGTGAAAAGACAAATTCCTAATGCAAGAAATTGTATAGGGCCAATAAAGTGATCTCATCTTCTCTCTTCACTCCATTCTCTCTCTCTCTCTCTCCTGCCTCTACACTCCTCTCTCACTCACTCCTGCCTCCACACTCCTCTCACTCACTCACTCCTGCCTCCACACTCCTCTCACTCACTCACTCCTGCCTCCACACTCCTCTCACTCACTCCTGCCTCCACACTCCTCTCACTCACTC